AAGCTTATTGTTATATATTTTAGAAAAAAGTAGAAAGTAATATAATATAAATACCTTTTATTAAAGCCCAATTAATTATTAAACTTGTATATACAAAAATCTTATATTTAGAACTTATATATTTGACTTGTATAAGCAAACTAGTTATTATAATAAAGCAGTTAGGTTCTCAATTTATCCTTATAGAATAATATCGTAAATATACAAATACATAATTAAATAAAAATTTAACAGTATAAAAATCTTATAATGCTATTAGCAAATAACAAAAATTTTGCTATAAATCTCTTATAAATTTATTGCCAAATTTTTAAATTGATTAAATGACCAAACGAAAACAAAATCAAAATAACAATTCAAGTGATGCTGATACTGAAACAGAGTCCAGAGATTCTAATAATTCAAAATTAGGACATCTGCAAACAGGTGTTTGGAAATTTTTTGAAAGAGGTCAATCTAAAGGTGATGGTCATTGGGAAGGAACTTGTTCATTTTGTGAACATTTTTATTTACAGGCCAAACCACAAACTCTGCAAGCACATCTTGTTAATAGTTGTAAAAAAGTTTCTGAAGAGTGGTGGCGTCATTTTAATAATATTATAGTTAATAATTTAGAAGATATTCCAACTAATGAACCTATATCAAATGCTAGTTCATCTTTAGTTAAACAAAAAAAAATAGCCAAACAACTTGGGTTAACTAATTGGTATGATTCTACAAAAATTGAAGCACCTATGCAATCATTAATTGATGAAGCTATTTTATTAGCTTTTGTTATGTGTGGTATTCCTTTTTGTATTGTCAACAATCCTTTTTTTACAAGCACTTTAAAGCTTCTAAATCCTGGTTATAATATCCTATCATGTGAGGTTCTCTCAGGACACTTATTAGATTTAGAACTTGCAAAAGTTATTCACAAAATTGATGGAATTTTAGAACATACAAACAACCTTACTATCGATCTTGATGGTTGGACTGCTCCTAATAGGTTATCAATTTGGAATTTCGTTATTATAACACCATTATGGCAAAAATATCTCTATGAACTTGGAAATTATTCTGATCGATCTCATACAGCAGAATTTCTGGCAAGCCAAATCGAATTAATTATAAATCGTATTGGTAAAAATAAAATTTTAGCAATAATTAGTGATAATGGGGCTAATGTAGCATCTGCATGCAATATAATTTGCTTAAAATATAAAAATATTATAAATATTCGTTGCATTGCTCATTTTTTTAACCTAATTAGTAAAGATATTATTAAACATATGTTTGCAGAAAGAATGATTCAATGTGCTAATAAAATAGTAATATTTTTTAAAAAATCTCATAAAGCTGGAGCTATATTAAAAGAAAAAGTTATACAACATCAAATTAGTGATGGTGGTCTTAAAACATATATAGAAACAAGATGGACAACTATATATGAATGTGTCTTCTTAATTGTGTGACTTAAGATTTGCTTAGAGGAAATTTAAGAAAATCACTCTGAAATTATTAGTCCTGTCGTTTTAACAATACTTTATGATTGAGGCTTTTTTACTGATTTGCAATTTCTTTTAGATGTTTTATTTCCAATCAAAGAGGCAATTTTGGCAGTTGAGGCAAATCATTCTACACTTGCTGACTGTTATATTAATTTAGTAAAAATTGCTGCGGTAATTCAAAATCTTCCTATTGATGAATATAAAGGATTTCACAATGAATGTATTAAAAAATTTAATAAACAGTTTGAAGAATTTAATGATTCTATTTATTAACTTACATATTTTCTTCATTCAACATATAAAGGTCTTGGATTAAAGTTTGGTACATTTCCTTTTATTGCAAATTCTGCTGGAAAATTATGACAACAAATGGGTAAATCAAAAGAAAGTTGTGAAGCTTTAATAACACAATTATGAATTTACAAAAAGCAAAAAGAAAATATAAATAGAAATCTAAATCCTTATATTGCCCTCTATACAATTAGTAAGGATATACCATTAATGTGGTAGAATATGTGTGAAGCTAAGCCTAACAATTTACAACACTTGGCAATTAAACTTTTTTCCATTACACCAAGTTTAGCTCTTTGTGAATGAATGTTTTCAGCATTAGGATAGATTTATAAAAAGCATTGAACTAGATTAAATATAGATCGGTTAGAAGGATTAGCAAAAATTTATCGGTTTAATTTATCAAACCCTATAAAACAACTTTATCATACTCAAACTGCAGAAATAACTTCAGAAATAATAACAAATATTGCTGAAACTGTTTTTAAAGAGTTTGAAGAAGAAACATTAATAGATAATGATGATATTGAAATGCTTAATCCTGCTAAAAACCTTTATCCAAATGAACAAGATTTAGACTTAAGTATTTCAACTTCTATTGATTTTAAATCTTCAGTTTTTATGTCCTTTAATAGTTATGAAAGTGAGAATTTTAATGAAATCGAATCTGATAATGATATACAAGAAGGTGAGTATAATGTTGACGAAATTGTTGCTGCAAAATTAAATTACAGTTCACATTAAATACAAATACAAAAAAAAAAAGAGAATTAGGTAATATAATAGTTCTCTTATAAATTCAAATACAGTATATCAATTCGTGAATTATAGTGATAGTTAAAACCTTTCCTCGATCTTGTAAAAAAAAAAAACTTATTTTACCCCTTACTCTAAATTGATGTATATATTTTTTTATCTTACTTTGCTTTACTATTATGTTATATGAAATATTCTTATTATAAAGATACAAATTATGAGAATCTTACAATATATACTTATTTATCATTTAAGATCAATATCACAATTTATAG